CACAGACCTTCTTTGGTTTTGTTTCTTCTTGTTTTTGTAAATCTCAGAATGACCTCCCTGTGCCAACAGTATGATGTGTGGCTGCCTAGCACTTTCCTTGTACAGCTCCCCACTCTTCCCTGCCCAGCTGATATGCAGGTTCATTCTTTCCGTTGGTGTAGTGTTTTATGGTTTAGAGAAGTTCTACATACATTTTCTCCACTGATCCTTATTGTAAAACTGTGTTGGAAGCAGAAATTACTCATCACTTACTTACAGTCAGTAACCTGGACTCAGATCACCCAGCTAACTTGTGAAAGACTTGGGGTTGCAACCTAGGTTGTCTTCTTCCTTAAGTTTAGAAGTTCAAAGTAAGCAAATAAATGTAAATTCTTAGCCGAGTAAGGTCTAATTAAAGTGATCAGTCTCCTGTGGCTGAAATGCATGTCTGTATATCCTAACCACATCTAAACCATTCTTCAATAATTTAACGTTGAGTATTACCTGTGGCTTAGCTCTCTTCCATTTGCACCCATTAGAGCATATTGACTCGATAAGGATTCTGTGCTGGCCCCATTAAGCACATTTATGCAGGTCCCCACCTCACAGGGGTCACCAGGGAGCACAGCGTGCTAGAGTGCAGAAGGCTTGCCCAGACACTAGTACTGAATAGTACCAGTGGCCATCTGTGGTTCCTGGTGTGAGTCATAGCTCTGTTACCTGCATACACCACTTAATATGTGAGCTTCCACCTCCCTGTTGGTACAGTTGGAATAGAAACAAATAGTTTTTGGACCATCTGGGAGCTCACTTCCCTCTCATCTATAAAATGGGCACACGAATATCCACTTAGCAATGTTGTAAAAATTAAATAAACTTCTGTACCAAAGGCACTCAGCACCATGCCTAGCAGTATAGCTGGTGCTTAACAAATGTTCTGCCCTTTTCTTCTTCCTCTTCCTTGTCTTTTCAGATACCTTAAAAACTTTATAGAAAATGGCATAGATGTTAAAAAAAGAAAGTCAAGGATGTCATAACCTAGTCAGTAGCATTAATGTGTGGTGTGGGGGGGCAGTGGCAACAAGGTTACCTTTTCAACCCAAAGTGAGAGCCTTGCAAATGGCTTTTTTCTTAAAAATGACCTTTTCTGACCAAAGGGAGGGTAAATCATCTAGCCTTTCATTGATAATGCTCATTTACATGTAGCACTTTTATTTTCAAATTGACTTCTTGTCACACTGAGTTAGTTGTTGCTGGGGTGCCTGCCAACCTAGGGGTGGAGTGCAACAAGGCCGGAAGCCAGCACTCTGCAGGGCTGTACTGACAGAGAAGAGCACAGCGTGGTACCTGCAAGGCGGCGTGAACTGCAGACAGGCTAGCTCTTCACACTGGAGGAGTCATTTCCTTTTCCCTCTGCAAAGACTGTTAAACCGTCAAAACTGATAGTGTAAAGTTGTGAGTTTTTTAGTTTACACCGAATGTGGACTGCTTAAGATAAAAATGTACAAGCTTTGAGTATTCTGGGCCCGATGGTTCTAGGCAGTGTTAATTTAATTTTATTTTTATCTTCTTTAGCTGAAAGCTCTGGTTTTCTGTGAGAACATTGATTACTCCAAAAGGAGTTTCTCTATTGACCCATGAATGGATCAATAAATTGTGGTATATGTACACCATGGAATATTATGCAGCCTTAAAAAAGGATGGAGACTTTACCTCTTTCATGTTTACATGGATGGAGCTGGAACATATTCTTCTAAGCAGAGTATCTCAAGAATGGAAGAGAAAGTATCCAATGTACTCAGCCCTACTATGAAACCAATTATAGCTTTCATATGAAAGCTGTAACCCAACTATAGCCCAAGAAGAGGAGGAAGAGGAAAGGTGGGGGGAGGAGAGGGGCGAAGATGGTTGGAGGGAGGGTAATTGGTAGGACCACACATTTTACAAGGGTACAAGTTAAATCTACTAAGTGTAGACTATAAATGTCTTAACACAATAACTAAGAAAATATGGTGAAGGCTATGTGAACCAGTTTAATGAAAGTATTTCAAATTGTATATAAAACCAGCACGTTGTGCTCCATGACTGCATTAATATATACAGCTATGATTTAATTTAAAAAAAAAGGAGTTTCCCATTTTCAAATTGCAGCTTCCTAGTTGGGCAACATAACTGTAATTCCAGAATACCACAAGGCTTGTCTGTTACTCTATAGATAACCCTACAGTAAATTTGCATGAGGGCATTACTTTAAAACAGTTTTCTTCTCTAATCTGTTATTGCAAACCAAAATAATAATTTCCTTTCCAAGGCAAGAGATTTGGAAGGAGGACTCTATTCATATGTGATCTCATTGACAGTGAGCAATCTTTCCTCAGCAAAGATGAGGAAAGAAAGTAGACCTTTTAAAAGATTTGGTTATTTTATTTTGTCGAAGACAAGATATATTTTATTCTAGGGATCCATCAGCATCTCTTAAAAATTATCTGTAAGCCACAGGGACTTTCCCTCAGCAGCTTGCTGCTTCACTCTTCACTCAGCGTGTCCTTCAGACCAGCTGCCTCCAATTTCCATTTGTCTAAAACACCAAACAAGGAGAACATAAGCATTTGGTTATATGAAAATGTATTTACAGTTCATCTACAGAAACCTATTTAAAAACTTTTAGGGGAGAAGGATTAAAAACCCAGTAGCTTGCTTGTGTTCCTTCATGAGCAGGTACGTGCATGCTGCTCTTCCTATATGCTTTCATTGACCAAATCATTTTTTCATTATTTTTTAATTTAATGAGTTGTCACTCTGTATTGAGATTGGACCAGTTATAGGTGAGTGAATACCTGTTGGCATTCCTTTGATATTTTTTTCAGGTGATTACTCCCTGATCTTGACTGGTTAAGAATAACAGGCAAAATCAAATCCAGAACTATAGGATATAATTAAATGCCAAAATGACTAAGCAACTATTTTTTGGGGGAGGGGAGGAATTTCTGTGCTAGGCTCTGTTTCCATAGTGTTGAGCACAGGCTTTAGAATCAGATAGATCAGTTCAGATCCCCACATTGAAACATAAGAATTGTGTTACCTTAATTTAATTTCCCTTAGCCTTCTTCTCCTTATCATAAGCAGAAATAGTAATAGTACCCACGTGTAATGGTTGGTTTAGTGAGATGCTGCTTTGTACGTATATGTGTCTTGAACTGGAAGCATCCCCATGCGGAGGACATTCACTATTAGAGGGAGAGAGGGCCCCCTGGGAGTTGGTGCAAGCTGTAGTATTTCTTTTTAATCCAGCATTCCAAATGTTTTGTTTCCATTCTTCTTTTAAATGATGTTTTATTTTATTTTATTTTATTTTTTAACTTTAAAAATATGGTTTATTTTTCCATTAGAAAAACAATTTGACAATAGTACACCTATGATGATGTTTTATTTTGTTAAAGTGTATTACAACATTAACTTTAGTTGGGGTCTGAGCAGTGTTCAAGATCCCTTTCAAAGGTGCCATCAGTGTCCAGGGCTGGGGGGTAGGGGGTCAGCAGCAGGGATCCTGCAGTGGTGGCCAAGCAGCAGCTCTGTTAGGCTCATTACTTCCATCTTTACAGTGGTCTACAGTGGCTTGTGTTCATTTAGAATTTAAGGAGGTGAGTAAGCAAGAATATACTTGCACATACATGTTCCAGGCTGAATTTGGATCTCTTCATTCAGTTTGGAGTATATTAAATTACCATTGTCTTAAAAATTTGCCATTGTTATGCTAGAGTTCTTGTTTACTTGCAAGTAGATTTTTAATCATCTGTCTTAGCATATGATCATTTGACCTAAAATCTCTGCTTTCTTTAATTATAATAACCTACACTATATATTTTGCCCTTTTGAAATAGCGTTTTAACAAGTGAAAAAAATACATATGCTTTAAAGAGAGACTGGGAAGAAATAGAGCACAGATTGTCTTTGAACAACAGAATTGCCTATTGTTATTTTAGGCATGTTCCATCCTTACAGATACCTTGTCTACCTTAGTTATACAAAATATAGCCATTGGGAAAACCTTAAAAATAGAGCAAAATACAGGGAAGGGAATTTTAAAATGACCTATGACTTTACCACTCAGATCACCACCACTGGCGTTTTGGTGTATCTCACTTGTCACTTGTAGTCAAAACAGCAAATGTGCTTCATGTCCCAGGCCTACCACTCGATCCCTTTGCACACATTTCTGACGGTCTCCCCCACCGTAGGAGCCCTTACTGAGCCTAACAAATAAGCCTCCTGCACAATTGACCTAAACAGGAACTTCATTATGAAAACCATCTCCATATAGATACTGGCCCAGATTGGTTGTTAGTCCCAAACTTGGATAGTATGTTCTCTAGTAAGTATGATTTATGCGTTATGTTGGCATCATGGGAAACTGGATTGTTTCTTCAGTGAGCCCATTAAGAAAATTTTCTGGAGTGTAGGCAGGATTTAAGCAGATGATTTCCTTTGATGAGCATGAAGCAATCTGGTTAGCATGCCTGTTCAAGTTCAGACTTTTTTTTTTTTTAAACTAGAGACTATGTGATTTGGTGATGGACTCTATAAATAGTGTGACCCATTTTTAACAAGGTTGCTGATATGTTTTTCAGCAGGACTTTGTGGTTTAGCTAATGAAATCTTTTCGGAGATGATCCTCTGAGCCTTCTGTCTAGTTAATATCACAACTGCTGCTTTTATGACTTAATTGCCTTTGTGGTTTAATTCACTTCATGACACATCCATCACCATGAAGTTTACACTGTTCACCCCTCTTTGTTGTAGTATTTGCTTGATGACTTCTGGGGTCAAGGAGAGGTTGATAGGTGGTTTTATGCTATTAAAAATAAGTGGTATGGGCTAATCTATCTTTTTAATTAAAAACAGCACTTTTAATTAGTGCATTGAAGCTACTTCCTATCTGAGCCCCTAGCAGTGGTTATTTCTATCATTTGTAGAGAATTATGGTTTATACAGTTTTTTCTTTTTTTTTTTTAGTTCATCTTCATAATATTCCTTATATGTTTCAAAACTCATACTTGGCAATGAGTTCTGGGTTGCAAAAGAGGATTTTTTTTTTTTTTTGCATCTATCTCTAAGTCTTTGTCCACAAGGTAGACAAAAATAAACACAGGTGCTGTTTATATAGTTCTTTCACATTTACCCCATTTCTACCTCCTCTTCCCTCTACTCCAGAGTCCAGAGTGTTCACCATTACTCAGTGGAACCCCCGACTCCTCCTCTACTCCAAAACTCTACTATGATAGTTATACATATTATTATCCTCATTTTGTGGATGAGGAAGCTGAAGCAAAGAAATCATAGAGTATGCTGGGTAAGTATGGCTTGTATACGAGGTCTGACAATTAAGTTCATGAACTCATTCTGGGAAAAGTGGTCTGTACCTCAGTACTGAGTATCACTGTGGACACCTTCAAAGTACTCCCCTCGGGTTGCTGTGCACTTAGTCCACCCTTCAAAGCAATTTTGGAAATCTTTTTCTGGAATAATAATCAGAGCTGTTCTTGTACAGTACACAAAAGCACACAACAATAGTGATGAATGCCACTCAGCAAGACACTGCCACTTGTCAACATGAGCATAGCTGTGAGACACTGATAGACCAAAGTTACAAAACCTTTTGAGTTGTTTGTACAGTGCTACCAACATAGGCATGTGGTGGCAAGTTCATGAAGTTAATTGTCAGGCTTCGTATGCTGACAGCCTTTACAGTCATTCCAGAAAGAATTCCAGAGAGTGGACTAGGCACTGCTGTCAGTGCACAGCTGCCCGTAGGAGTACTGTGAAGGTGATCGTGGTGATACTCATTAGTGAGCTATCTAGCACTTTTTCTAGGATGAGTTTGAGAATTTCATTGTCAGGCCATGTATATTAGTACCTGGATTTTCTGCTATAGAAAGTCAGATGATTAGACAGTCTAACTGATGGTTAGACTATTACAATTTAGAAAAGAGCTTCTGTTTGGTGTTATTTATTATTGGGATTGCCCTAGTATTAATATCATAAAAAATATATGTACATGTCTAGAGCTTACCCTTGCGTGCTGGATTTTGAGAGATTTTCAGCTAAACCTGAAAGTTGGCTTAGTCGTGACTTTCATTTGTGTGAACATGGTCAAGAGTTCATGTGGCAGTACAGTTTTGTTTTTTGAAGAGACAGGGTCTCATTCTGATACCCACAGTGGAGTGCAGTGGTATAATCATAGCTCACTGCAGCCTCAAAGCCCTGGGCTCAAGCAGTCCTCCCACTTCAACCTTTGGAGTAGCTGGGACTATAGGCATAGAAGTGAAGTTTTCAAGGAATCAAAGTCTGTGCTTACTTGGTGTCTTTAGAGCCAATCTGTACTTACTTTTTTTTTTTTTTTTTTTTTTGGTTTTTTT